CCGGAATGCGACTCGGAACTCGGCCCGCTCATGGCTGGACTGCGCTCGTCTGGGAATCACTTATCTATTACTCATATTCTACTCCTTCTACACTTAATTTAATTACTCGTAACACTCTAGCCTTCCACGCCTTATCTTATCCACTAGTTAATAAACGTTGGGATACGCCCATCATCTATTACCGACCGGAATACTTTAAATCCTAGAGATTCAACCTGTTAAATATGCCTTCGCAATTTTCAGTTGGGAGCCTTGATAAAAATGAAGTCTGTTGATTGCGGTAGGTTCAAATACACCTGCTTAAACGCAAAGGCCCCAAAATGCGAACTAGAAGGGTGAGACAAGATATCTGCAAAAATCGGTTATAAACATGGACTTATTATCAGGGGCTTCAGTGGTTGCCGCCTGACGACCTCATTCGATGCATAGCGCAAGGATGCAGAAACCAGCATTTATCATTCACCGGGATTACCATAGGGTAAGAAGCCCTAAAATGGTGTCGTCAAAAAACGGTTGTATCTTATTGTACGGCTGCGCAGTTAACATTCGATATTAGCAGTAGGCCCTTCCGCACGTTTAAGTCTTTTCGTTTTGTGAACTCCTTAATAGTAAGGACAGTGATCGTGGCATAAATAAAGCCAGGTTTCTAACGATTTGTAATAGCTGTGTGGGTAATATTCTTGAATTTATGCGTGAACTGATAACCGGGCGGAAAGTCCACCAACATGTAAAATCGTTGAAAAACGCTGCATCTTTCTGAAGCATTCGCGACGACAAAGGTTATTTCTGCATTTGTGCCATATCTGCGGAGTACTGGCTTCTTGGAAGTACAAAAACCCTGGAGGACGCAGAGTCTGCCATAAAAAGAGGCTGAAACCGCCGCACAAAGATTCCACTTTTCATGACTGCACGATAATCGACTGCCAAGTGGGCAAGTTGGACCTTAAGAGGAAAACCTCATTTCGGTAGTTATCCTCTGTCACTGGAATGGCCAATTAATTTTTCCTCCTGACTTTATAGCCAGCCAAGGAAACTGTGTAGCCTCTGGCTTCTGATCGCCTTATAAATCACAACGTGGCACAGTGGATCATTAAATAGCAATGCACATATTCCACCTCGGCTTGCCGATTTGCCCACGAGGATAATTCAGTTCATTAGTTGCTCTATAACTTGCAGGAGACGACATTTATGCAGAAAGTCACTGAGTCAAAAATAAGTTATTGCGATTTATTGAGTAGTCTGTTGCATTGACATTCGTTCTGTTCGAGTAGTAGGCATACCATTAAACCGATCGCATGTTGTTAGGCTGCTAGACATTCACTTTTCTGCAAACTTGAATAAGCGACATTCGAAAAAAGTGATCAATTTGTGCCTTTTGCCGTTCTCAAATCTTTACGTAATTGCGCATTTTAGTATAATAGCGTCAGGCAATTTCCTAGTTAAATCTATTTTTACTTGTCTCCTCCCCTAGCAATCATAAAGGCCAAACAGCTAGACCCCCGTGTTATCTTTTGCTGAACTAGAGGTTACCCCCGTTTTATTTGTACATTTTAGTCGGCTTAGTTTTTGTGCTGGTAAATCTTTTTGTTTCATTGAAGTTTTTAATTCTGTGATAAGAGATTGTTGCTGCTGCTTCCTAATGCTTGAAAATTTTGTAAAATCTGCGCGGCATCCATTTTAATGATAAATTAGTTAACGTTTGAAAGCAAAACCTCTTCAATCATGAGTCAATTCGAGAGGCATTGCCTTTGCGTTAATCTCAGGTTGACAAAAACTCTAAACAACGAAATAGATATGCTTTGAAAACTGTACTAGAACAAAGAACGGCAGTTGTGTCTTTTAATTACCTGCCCCATTGCAAATTTGCCTATCTTGCAGTCAGCACCATTGTAACTTTGATACACAAAAGTTGCAAGGCTCCTATAAACGTTAAAACATAAAACTCGCTCATCATCCTGAACACAGCGTGAAGCACCTGTTTGACCACCCCGAACTCTTCAGGCAAATGTTCATTGTATGGCCGATACTTTTACAACAAAACTGGCAGTTATACTGAATAAAACTCTAAAATATACGTTTGAAAGTTGTGAATGCAACTTAAACTTGTTCCTTCAATTTTCAACGCTCATTTGA